TCCTCCTCCTCCTCCTCCTCCTCCTCCTCCTCCAGAGACTCGTGTTCTCACGAGTCGCCGTGTGTTATCTTCTTGTCTTTCCGCAATCAGTGATGATTTCCCGTCACAACGGTTGCAAAGATCACGACGTTCAGAAGCCAAAAGAGCAAATATGACCGCACTGTTGTAGGCCTATTCCATGCCCTTGATAGTCGTTGATCGAGCTTGAGCCTCGTTTTCCCTCACAGGACGACTTTCGCGTGTGTTTGCGCGAAGGCATCGTTACCAAGGATATGCCGCCTGTGTGTCCGGTTGACGCGAGCGGTCGATTCACGCCGGAGGTCGGCGACTTCGCCGGCCAGTACGTCAAAGACGCCGACAAGAGCATCTGCCAGTACCTGAAGAAGGCAGGACGCCTGGTCAATCAGTCGACCATCCAACACAGCTATCCCTTTTGCTGGCGGTGAGTCAATACCATGTCCCTCCTTTTTTCTCCAAATTTCACTTTGTGGTAATTGTTGACGTGTGTTATTTGTAGCTCTGACACGCCGCTCATTTACAAGGCGGTTCCGACTTGGTTTATTCGCGTGGAGGACTTGGTTGATCGCCTGCTAGCCAAGAACGCTGAAACAACGTGGGTTCCGGAGTTTATTAAGGAGAAGCGATTTGCCAATTGGCTACGCGACGCACGCGATTGGGCTGTTTCGAGAAATCGATACTGGGGCACGCCTATCCCCATCTGGGTGTCTGACGACATGGAGGAAGTCGTCTGTGTTGGGTCCATCGACGAGTTGGAGAGGTTATCTGGCCGGAGGGTCGCGGATCTACACAAGGAATTGTAAGCAATCTTGGAAATGACGCACTACTTATTCGATAATAAGTAGTCATTATTAACCAGCAGTTGGCGCTATCATTGACTTTAGTGTGGATCCGATTACAATTCCTTCAAAAATGGGAAAGGGCGATCTGCATAGAATTCCAGAGGTTTTCGACTGCTGGTTCGAGTCTGGATCAATGCCTTACGCTCAGGTGAGTAATACGTCAATTATAGTGCGCTTACACTAACCGTTGTTCTTCCAAATGCAGCTTCACTACCCGTTTGAAAACGCTAAGCGCTTCAAAGAAGGCTTTCCCGCCGACTTCATCGCCGAAGGTGTTGATCAAACGCGTGGATGGTTCTACACACTGCTGGTTCTCTCAACTGCCCTCTTCGATCAGCCGCCATTCAAAAATTTGATCGTCAGTGGCATTGTCCTCGCCTCGTAAGCTCGAAAATTGCGGTCTACTGATAACTAGCGAGTAGCACTACCTATTTATTGTGTGGTGTTTTTTTGTCAGAGACGGCCAGAAGATGAGTAAACGCCAAAAGAACTACCCAGATCCCATGGAGGTGATTAACAAGTACGGCTCGGATGCTCTGCGCCTCTACCTCATCAACTCACCGGTCGTGCGTGCCCAAAACCTGCGCTTTTTCGAATCGGGCGTTCGCGACGTGCTGAAGGACGTCTTCATCCCGTGGTACAATGCCTTCAGGTTTCTCATGAAGGTACGCTGCTTCCTGATTATCTGATATCCCCTCTAGTCGTCAGTCATGCCATTTGAACGCGAATCAGGCCAGCGATTCGTGGTGCGGCCGAACGACTTTCCCCAAACCCGCAACTACATGGACAAGTGGATTCTCTCCTTCACGCAAAGCCTTATGGTGTTTGTGAGGCAGGAGCTCAAGGCCTACCGCCTCTACACGGTGGTACCACGCCTGGTCAAATTTATCGACCACCTCGTCAACTGGTACATTCGCATGAATCGCCGTCGTCTCAAGGTAGTAAATTCACCCTACTTAAATTGTCATGAGTAGGTTGTATTTATTGTCGTGTTTTGCTCAACAGGGTGACGCTGTCGAGGATCGGGCAGACTGGTTAAGCGCGCTCCACACCTTGGTGAAGGTTCTTTTCCAGTTGATCTTTGTGATGGCGCCGTTCGCGCCCTTCTTCACGGAGTTCATCTACCAACATCTGCGGGACAAGCTGAATTTTTCCGAAAACTTGTCTACTCTCGACCCCAACCAACTTGGAATCGATAAGGCGACCGGTGCACCGGAATCCCTTCACTACATAACCTGTGTGGAGCCGCATACCGACCAGATCCACGAAGACATTGAAGAGACCGTGGCGTGGATGCAAGCCGCCGTGGAATTGGGTCGTTCAATTCGTACCAAGAAGGACCTACCACTCAAGGCGCCTCTTCGTGAAGCCGTGGTGATTCACCCCGAGGGTGGCGTTCTCAAGGCCATCTCGTCAATGCGGCCGTATATCGTTGAGGTACTGCTGTGCTACTTATTTACTGTTAGTAGTTAGTATTTTTTGAAAGCGTTGAAATTGGTTTGATTTTTTGTGTGCGAACACTTAGGAGCTCAATGTGCGTAACCTGACGGTGACTGCAGACAAAGAGAAGTATGGAATTAGACTGAGGGGTCGCCTAAATCCCGCTGTGGGCGCTCGACTCAAGAGCCAGGTCAAGGTCGTTATGGAGGCGGTCGCGCGGCTGACAGAAGAACAACTTGAAGCCTACGTCAAAGTAAGCTGTCTCGAGTGTGTCCACTAACTAACACGACTCCCCACTATCGCTTTTCTATTCATCATTTATGCCTAAACCGAAACTCGCGCGAAGTGAATTTGCTATTGGTCGTTCTTGAGCACCATTGATTGGTCAGTCCAAGGTCAAACGAGAATTTCCAAACACTACTTCAATCGGAGGAGCACAGCTGTGTTCACAATGGTCTCTTTCAGCAAGAATGTATCGCTGCATGTTGCGTGTGGTTTCTGTGTGTGCTAGCGTGCATTGTTGTGCTAATTAGGAGCTAATTTAAATTCGCTACATTTTTTCCCTGATTACGAGGCATCACAAGAAAAACACCAACAAAAACTTTTGCTGTAAATGATTAGTGGTCGTGCGTGTATTTGAATAACGCTGTTTGGCGTTGTTGTGAAGCTGTCCACGTGTGTGTGAATTGGCGACCTGTGATTGGTTGCTTCAAGGTCATCCTTGCTTACCAATGGGCGTTCGTGAAATTTTTAGACCAATGAGCTGACAGTGGCTGGCACAACCCTCTCGGGAGACGATCTCACCGTGGACTACGTCGTCGGTGGCGGAGGCTGCCATGACCAGAGCGCTCCTAAGAAGCAGAAGAAGGCTCAGGCGAAGGACGGTGAAAAGAAGTCTCAAGCGGCACCCCCAGCTGACCCTCAGGGCCCCCTCTACGAAGCCCAGGCCGACTCCAGGGGCCTCCTTATCCTCCTCGACGTTCGAGCCGACGCGGAATTGGAGGAGGAGCGCATTGCTCGCGAGCTAATCAATAGAATTCAACGAGCCCGCAAGAAGGTGGGTTGCGGTTTGTCCCCTTAGCCAATACGCACGCGACCTTGACATTCACAAGACTTGGCGGCGTGTTCAAAGTGTGGGTCTTAGCCAATCGAATAAGGGGAAGAATTGAGATCGCACCTCTTGTTTGGCCAATCAGACTTTATCGCAACCTCAATCAATTTTACAAACTCGTTTGGTTTATTTAACAAAATAATCGCCTCACACTGTTTTCCAGATAGAGATTTCTAACGCTAATGTCCTAGTGCGCTGGAGTACTCTTTTTTGTTAGAAGGAGGAAATGTAAGTTTTTAGAACTGCTACGGCAAAATTGACCAATCAAAAGTCAGATCAACTTCCTTGGCCAATACGCACTCGACCTTGACATTCATAGAACTCGGCGGCGTATTCAAAGTTTGGGTGTTTTATTCTCTTTGTAACAGCAGCATTTCTTTGAGTTTTTGCACCCTTTCATCCAGAAAAATACTTCCTGTGCGCCGGCGGTGTTATAGCTAGGTACTCCGTCCCTTTAAGTTGTTTAAACATTCCGCGCAAACGATTTGTTTAAATGCCTCCTTCCAGGGCAACCTCGTGCCAGAAGATCCCATCCAGGTTGTCATCTCCACGACCTCGGAGGTTCTGCGTCGCCTGCTCAAGTCCCACGCTGCCCTCATCGACGCCACGGTGAAACAGCCAATCGCGTGCAACGTGGAGGCTTCAGCAGCCAAGGAGGCCGCTCTGGCCGCCCTCTCTGACGCCGACCGCCTGGGTCAAGTCGCAGTCACCGATGAAGCCTCGGTAATTGAAGCACAGCGTCCCCCTCCCTCGCTCCCCACAACCGTCGATCGATTTATTGACCGCGAATTGCCTTTTTTTGCGTCTAGATTCCACCGGACAACCTGGTGGTGACTATCTTCCACCGCCGCACCTCGGCCAACGCGCCGCCGAAGGACGTCCGCGTGTCGTGTCCGCGCGTCCTCAAGGTCCACTGCGCCGCCGGCTCGGACAGGCCCATCGAGGTGTGCTTGGTGGACGCCTCCGGCAGGCAATTGGTTGGCAGCCTCCTCGAGTTGATTCAATTGGTGAGTTTTGGGGCACCGAGTCACCATCGAATTCACCACGGGCGGGTCTCGATGCGTTTCCCTAGTACCAGGGCCCACTGCACGGCGCTCAGCAACTGTTTCAATTATCCAATGGGGTTAATCACTTTAGGCTGACTCAAGGTCATGGCGAAGTACTAAAAAAAAGCAAATTCTCGTTCAAAAGTCAGCTATCTTGACCAAAAAAAATTATCGATTAGTAACCCATTAACTCTTGAACTGAGCTGATTCTTCAGGATTTATGTATTTCTTTTGAAATCTGAACACGTCTCCTTGCAGACTATAAACACTAAATTCGCGTGCTGTGATTTGTTCACTTTTTACTCCAAGTTTTTTGCTAAGATTAAAAATGTCGCCTTTTAACGAATCAAGCTCTGCAGTGACGCACAATCGTTGTGCGCCTATTTGCTAGCGTCTTAAAACAGCACCCCGCTTCAAAATCCGTGGGAAAACACACCAATCTACTTTGGTAGTTGCAGTGTAAATTTAAAACGACTGCGGCTGCGTATTTCCGTCTCTCTCTGTGTGCGATTCAAGCAAGCTGCTACCTCGATTGCTGTCCCACCGTCTTAATAATTTTAATTAACTTTAATGAGGCAATGAAAATTCTGTTTTCTTCGGTTCAAAACCGCAAGTTTTGCCCATTTTGGGCGCTATCATTAGGCATTTCCTGAGATCACAAGCAAAAGGTCTACCGATTTGAATTTCCCGACTCCGACAAAGCAGGAACAGCACTTTTCGCAATCACAAAATTCGCTAAAAAGGGCATTGTTAGCTTTGTTGAGAACGCGCTCAGAGACAATCGCTGGGACGTTTTGGCGCGCAGAGATTAAAAGTATCGACTGGTATGCATCGGAATTAGCAGCCGAAA